CAAGGATGTTGCAGTTTACTTGGATAACAGTGTTGGTGTGCACAGTCTACAGTGCGCACACAATAACGGCGCAATTAGGTGAGCTTATTCAAAGTGCAAGTGCATATCGATGGTGCTCTGCAATAATGACACAACTCGACACTCAACAAAAAATAAAACCTTAACTACTGAACAGTGGCACATATCTCTAATCCTTGCCTTATCTATATTTAATGCTTACTAAATCTTTATGACTGCTTTGTAAGATTTAGTAAGGATTATTCGTGGATTAGACAAGGATTAGAGATATGTGCCGCTATTCAGTAGAAAGGTTTTTTCTTGTTTTGAGTTTTGTAGGTATTACAGAAGACCTTAGATACATATGTGTAATACTTTTTTTTAAATAATTATTTTCCACTTACCCACTTCAGCGCTTGACTTTGAAAAGTGTCCCTTTGGTGATTCGGCTTGTCACGTAAACGTCGTAAATCTTCTGCTTAAGAAAGCCAAAACCGGCGCGCGTGAATTGAATCTCATTCCATTTGATCCTTTACGTGTTAAGTCGCTGAAAATTAATCCAAATACAAAGAGTCCTATTAATATAGAAATAAGCTTTAAAAATATTGAAATTATCGGCTTGCAGAATCTACAAAATATTAAAGTCGAGTGAGTACATACATACATACATACATATAAAATTTTAAAGTGGTGGAAGTCTTATGTACATCCGTTGATTTATTCTCATATTATTTCTCTCGCCCCATCCAGCGGTTTCACGCACGATGTCCAAGGACCAATTTTACTAGAAGGTACTTTACCACAAGCCATCATACGTGGGCCCTATCAAGGCGGCGGCACAGTTTTGGGGTTACCCTTCAAAGGCAGTGGCAAATGTGAGATAGTGCTAAGTAAGGACAAATTAGTGGCTAAATACTAAAACATAAGTGGCTAAAAAAGCATTTAGGTCGTTCACAAGATGTCTTAGGTGTCGTAGACTCTGGAAATCGTGAAGTCGTAAAATTATTCAATCTAAAATAACAACTAAAATATTTTTAATAAACCCACACTGTGTAAAAAAGTTAATTTAATATATATTAAACCAGTGTAAAACATTTCGGCGTGGTAACAAATCATCTTAAAACATTTTACGTTGATAAATTGTACAATTTTAATGCATTACGACGCTTAAGACGTCTTGCGAATCCCCTATGTAATTATCTAACTAATTTACTAATAATTACCTATAAATTCTCCAAATTACAGAAAATATAAAACTAACTGCGAAATTAAATGGTAAACTGGTGACTAAGGGCGCCGATAGATATTTAACATTTAAAGATATAAGCTTAGCTATATCGGATCCCGAAAACGTGCACTTCCAGTTTGGTGGACTTTTCGATGGCAATAAGGATTTATCCGATACAGCGCATGCTTTTCTCAATGAAAATTGGAAGGAAATTTTCCGCGAATTACGGCCGGCATGGCAAGAAGCATTTGCAAAGATTCTTGAAGGATTTTCTAAGAATGTATTCATAAAACCATATGACTGGTATTTCAAGCAGTGAAAAATTTTTAAATCGTTTTAATGTTTACATACAGAAAGAAAATATAATGATCTTGTACCTTGGTAATAATTCGTTTATTTGGAAATGGCTTGAGGTCCTTTTACATATAGGCATACAATGTTCCATGTTTTCTTAAAGCAATTGAAATTAAGTGTGTGTATAAAAAATAGCATCGCAGTGTAATATTAGATTAGATTAGATTTAAAAAAATGACAAGTGAACAAATATACATACATATGTATGTATGTATATGTATTTAATTGCAATCGTTAAACTAGCATATAAAGAATATCTTAAATTCAAGTTTGTTAAACGAGATTTTTGTAATGAGGTTGTACATGCATATTTAAGTTTTATTTGTATCCCTAAACTCTCATCAGGCAAGCAATTAATGCCACTGAACTAAAATTCGTATGATTCGGCTTACAAATCGATCGCTTAGACTGAAACGTTACAATGTCCACTTTTTTATAAAAAGCTACATACAATGAAAATTAAAAATTTTACCTTCGAATGACATGCTTGTTTTATTCCTACTCATTTATGTATATTTAGTGAAACGCAAATTTAATAAGTCGAAAGAAGCACGGAAAATTCAATAAGTCCAATTGAGTAAAAAGCTGCATTGACATCGAATTCAACCGAATCGTTGGTAGGTTTTTACAAAATACTTGAAGAAAACTAATTTTGAAAAGATATTTCTGTACTGTTTAAATTTAAAAAACTGGACTAAGCTCATTTTAGAAACTTAAAATTTGTATTATTATTTTTTTACAACTTTTCATTTTATGTTTATCAAGTCTACTTAAGAAATTCAAAATAAGATTGCTCTCTTCACGTGGTCGCATGTTGAAGCTGTTGAGTAAAAATAGCGGAATAGCGTTAAATACATGTGAAAATGTTGTTAAAACGTTTAAAACTGTATTGTAATTGCCATGAATCACTCAAAAATATTTTTAGCCTGTATGCAACATATGCTATTTATCGTGCGTGTTTACAATTTACAGTTTACAAATTCTATTGTGGATATTTATTTAAAAGAGTTGGGACTAAATCGATGCACATGACGTAAATTATGAGTTTCTGGCAGTTTTCATTTGAAATATGTAATACTTTAATTACAAACATTCAAAAATATTTTGCAAATCGCACCGATTTCAAATCGTACAATTTGCAGAACATGCCAGTATGACAATATGACTAGTTGACATCTTGTGAGTAATAAAAATATAAAAAAAAATGTAAAAATCTCGAGTATTTACAATCAAAATCAGTGGTATTTACCTTAAAAAAAGTACATAGTACTCGCTTGATAAGATAATAATTTTGAGAAAAGAATTCAGTGGACTTTAAAAATAAAAAATCAATTCAAACTGAGCCTTTTTTAATACTGCATGGCATATACATACTAAACTAAAAAAATTAATTTTTATATACATTTATGTACAATCAGTGTATCAATATAAAACTAAAATGTTTATACTAAAATAATACAAATTCCGTACATTTGTACAATAAATAACCTTAAAAAATGTAATTTAAAACAATCAAATAGCGATCTAAAAAAGCTATTTACAATTTTCATTCACATATAAGCATACCAGTAAAAATTAAGGGCAATCAAGAATATCCAGTTTAATTATGCAACAAAAATTTTTTTCATTCGATTCAAATTGAAGGGAGCTAAGGAAGTTTAGAGGATTTTTCCCAACTAAACACTGTACTTGAAATTAATTTAAAAAAATGGCAGTCGGGTATATTTAACGGGAACGAGGAATTTTCTATGCCACTACAACAACAAGAACTATCGTAATTAAAGGCCCAATTGCGGGATTTGTGTTTACATCAAACTCGTTTCGAAGTTTTATATCGAGATTGCCTTAATAGAAAAACAACTGTGATTTTATTCTATTTGGTTTAAAATGAGTAATCATTCACAAAAGTTGTAAACTATATGCAAAATCTTACTTTACAATCATATAACTAACTAGTGTTGAAATGCTACATAAAATAGTTTTTAAACTCATATCATTCCCAAGCGGTGCAAATAAATTCCATAAGGCCTTCTATAAAATTTAAAATATGATTTAAATAAGAGGTAATTACTAAAAAACTAGGCTAAACTAATTAAAAAATCTTAAAAATATGTTTAAAAAGCAAACATTAAATTGAAATTTAATAATAATTTACAACTAATCACTGAAATAATACAAATGCCGTACATTTGTACAATAAATAACTAAAAAAACAATTGAGTTTAAAACATTCAAACAGCGTTAAAACAAAATTTTTTTACAATGTTAATTAAATAAACATACCAATTAAAATTAACAATTAATGGCTAAGAAGCAAATTAAACTTAAATAGCTTATGCAATCAAAATTTTTTTATTGCGGATCAAATTGTAGGAACTACTTGTAATCAATTAAAAAAAACCTGACCGTCGGGCCCACATAACGCTCTACGTTTGCATCTGAACCAAGGCTAATAGTTAAGCAATATTCCCCAGAACTCCTGGGATTGAGTAAAACAACTGTCTGTTTTATTATATTCCGCTCAAACTGAGTAATCATTCACAAGTGTTGCGCTCCAAACTCAGTATTTATTTAAAAAGTTTTTAACTGAATGAAAAATCTTACTAACAGCCTTATTCTGTATCACGAACGATAAGCAAAACGACGATTCGTCTGCGGACGAAAACCTCTCTGATTGCGATTTTAACTTCGTCTTGCACCGGCTAAAATGATGCCACCAGACTAATTTTTAAAGCACTCCTCTGCAGGCGAATCGTTCGTGATACAGAATAAGGCTGTTAACCTCGCTATTCTAACCAAGCCACAAACTCAGCACATCAGTATTGTGATTTGTACTGCGCGTCAAAAAAATGCCACAAAAATTTTATTTTAAGTGCTAAAGATATGCACAAAAATTCAAAATTTTGTTTTGTAGCGGCATACTCTCGAGTAGCAGTAGAAATCTCAATAGTGATGTGCTGAACTTTAAGACTTTGTTAGAATAGCGCTGAAAATGGAAAAATAATTGAGATAATTAAATTAAAAACTAACAGCAGGCCTTTTATACAATTTTATCGACAAACGTATAACTAGCTTGTGTAAAAGCCTTCAAACTCGTATCTTTTCCCAAGCAGTGCAAATAAATTTCTAAGGCCTTCAATAAAATTTAAATAATTATCAAAAACTAAGCTAAACTAATTAAAAAATCTTAAAAATATGTTTAAAAAGCAAACATTAAATCGAAATTTAAAAATAATTTACAACTAATTAAAATACGTTTAAAAATCTAAATTGCAACAAAATACTGCAAAAAATTATAATAAAATTAAGTCGTTTAAAGTATAATATAATAAAAAGTAATATGTATAATTTTTAAACTAGAAATATATCTAAAATCTTTGTTACAAATATTTAAATTAAAAAAACTAACGGTTATAAGTAATTGAAAAAATACCTATATAATCCTAACACACACTTAAACTAAATATATTTCAATTAAATATGTACGTATTTTAATGCAACCGTCCTTCCTTTACTTATAACCAATATAGCGTGTCGATTGACGATCAATGTCCGATTCATTTTCAGCGACCGTAACTGCACCCACATTACAACAATAGCTTCTATCGTAAGCAAGAGACTCTCCAGCAATACCGCTATATTCAACATCGGTCTTATTCTCAGTTACCATGTTTTCAGTAGTATTCATTGCCATGGCGGCTGTCTGTGATGTATTTGTTGCCCATTCATTCGCATTTGATAAGATAGCTTGCTGTTCTTTCATAGCATTATATATCATCGAGCGCTTCGAACGCTCCACTGCCCAATTGAAGGCATGCACATAGATATGCGATTCGCGTATCTGATCGCTTATCTGCACTACGAGCTTTTCCAAATTCTGCGTCTGAACTGTAATGGAAGGTTATAGAACATATTGGATATGCAAAAAAAAAAGCATGCTGCATGCATAATACCTTTAGCATCTTCGGTAACAAATTGTCCACGCTTATGTTCCATTTCAATTCGCTTAAATGCCTCAAATTGCGTTAGTAATTTGCGCATCATATTCAACGATTGTTCACATTCCATATACAACTCGGGACTATATGTTTTATTTGCGTTCAAAATGCGTTGCATATCACATAAGAATATTGTGCATTTACGTGCTGCTTGCCTAACTTGATATTGCACATTCATGGTACATGGCATGGAGCACTTTGTCTGCGTATTTGTCTGCAAGTTAGCTGAAAGAAACTCACTGTCTTCCGTAGTACCATTTGTAGGTAAGACTTCATTTAAATAGTAATGCATCTTACGAAGTAGACTAAACAAACGCAGCACCGGATTAGGTTCATTGCTATAATGAAGTGTCGAATGTTTAATTGGCGTAAGAATCAAAGGCACTTCTACTAAAAACTACTTACTTATCCAACGACAAACCCAGCACAGATAAATCTACCACAATCTTGTCATAATCAATTTCTTCTTCCTTCCCAAAATCAGTTTGCTTGGGGAATCTGCGTTGGCCGCTGCCACTATTGCAGTTACCACCATCTCGATTGTTACGTCTACTAAATCCAAAACAATTGTCTGCTTCACTTTCAATGCGGGCAGCACTTGAAATAAGTGGCACAGTATTGGTAGCAGGATGGATGTTGCTAGACTGGCAACGTAAGAAGTGAAACTCAAATTTCGGCGACGACGAGAGCTTTGGCGATGCTCCACTTGTTACGCTACGAACATTTGATTGGGAATCGTATTGCACTGGCTTTGTTAACGGCGGTACAGAAGCGTAATTGTTGTTCATATTGGCGTTCAGACCCTGTGGCATTGCAGATTTTAAATGTGCTGCGGCGACGGCATTCGGGGTGTGGCCAGTGGCAAACATAGTTGGCATGGCATTGAAATGTTGTTGCAGAACTTTCTGTTGGTGTTGCCGCTGCTGCAAGTGCTGGTATTGCAACTGTTGTTGGTGATAATATTGACGATATAAATGCAGCATTTCTAATTCCTTGTTTTCTTGACTGGATGCGACACTTGAAGTAGATGCGGTTGCTGCCATTTCGTTGTACAATGAATTATTATTTAATTGTGTAACACCACATGCTCCGTTTGTGTTTTTTGCTCCAGCTATGCAGCTTGTTGTTGCTGCAACAGTTCTAATTGCCCCAAACCCGTCTAATTCGCCACCAATTAGCAACGAACTCAACTCATGAGAAATGCTTTCCATATTATAAATAAGTAATTGACTATCTTTTTCACTGTTCGGTTGAAAGTTGAAAGACATTTTAATCTCGGAAATGGCTAAAATTCAAGAAAAATATCATATGAAAAAACGTTACATTTTAAATTTTACTGCTTTTTTTCTAGCATCTAAAAAGTGCCAATCTTTTTTTTCTGTAAAGCACTCAGGTTTTTACCCATAATCTCTATTGCTCCTTTTTATCATAAAACTCCTTTTCGGACAATTTTACTTATTAGTTTCTACTTACGGTAAAATGTTTATAAAATGGAATTTTCGGTGAGACCAGCGTGCAGTTAGAAATTAGTTGCAAATTTGATTTTGCAAACACCTACACCGGAAACGGCTAAGTTGGATAAAATGCAATGCTGCCATACGGAATTGGAATACAGAGAAGTGTGTAAAATTGAACCCTGTGCTGGCAGACATGAACGAACGTCGCAAGGCCACACAAAAACAAGAGAGTGAACAAGTTCGATTTTTTAAGCGGGTTCCAGGCGAATTAATAGCTCTGATCCCTTACTCCATGAACTTACAGGTTTAACACGAACTTGCAGGAAGTTACTGGAAAATTATCCCGTACTCCAAAATGCTGTAAATGAGAGCGATTTTTGGAGAGTTGTGTAGAGAATAAAGATGCAAATTTTTACCTGAACTTTTTCTTCTGGTAAAATCATAAAACGTGTCAAGTGATCACTGGTTGACGTTTTTACAGGAAAAATGGTGTTTTTGTTCCCGTACTTTTTGTTGTTACTCACTTTATACTCTCACTTCAGAGAATATTGTTACGATTCAAGAATGATAGAATACAAGATTGCGCCAATCGAGCTGAGAGCAACTGGCCGTGACGTCAAAATATACCCGAATGAGAGAGCAAGACGAACTCGACAAGAAAAAGAGGAAGCATCGAACAAAAGGTAACAATCGGTAACAAAGTTCGCGTCGAGTAAATTTTTGACAAAAATGAGGTGAATAAAATTTCAGTAGCTCATGAGGCTAGTGAAATTTTTGTCAAATGCATAGAAAATTTTGACAATCGCAAAGATTGTTGATGTGTGTAATTTTTCATTAAATAAAAGCATAAATAGATGAATTGCAATCAACGATGGTAGATGTTTTCTTAAAATATTCATTTCACTTCAGTTTGTAATATTTTATTCCAAATAAATCTGCGGTTATCAAAAATTTACTGCTGTCACACAGCAGATTGGCAAAACTGTCTCACCATAGTAAAAATATTATTCAACAGCTTTCCCCGTAGAACTTTGTTACCGATTCACACACGCCCTTTAGGTTGGTGTTATGCAGAAATTTTGTTTGGCAAACTGCGTGCAATTGTTGTTGTAGCAAACTCGGAGAGAGCGAGTTTGGCGACTCTCACAGCAAACTAATTTTGTTTGGTCAAACTGCAGCAAATTCGGTGTTGTCATATACAAAAATTTTAAATTGTGCGCGTTATGTACATCTGAAATTCTCATTTCGTGTTGGCAATAGCCATGAAAACCATAATGAACGTGCAACCCTGTGCCAAACTCGACATAACCACCTCCGAGCAAACTAAGCAGCCGCCATTTAATTTGGCAAACAAAAGTTTGTCTGTATAACACCGACCTTATATGAATACATAGGCTGCGTTTCTTTATACATTCCGGATAAACCCATTTCACAACCAGAATGAACAGAATGCCATTGAAATATACGTTTACATATCATCAGGAACGTTCTAAAGAATAAGTAAACAAGAAAGTTTATTCCAAACGTTCAGAATGAATAAAGAAATACAGCCATAGTTTTATTGTAACAGGCTAACCTAATATTCACGCACGCCGCCAATTTATTGTCAAAAATTTCTCATACACATGCAACTTGTATGAGATCAACCGAAATTGAACGGCGTGCGTATGAAGCTAACTCAATTTCCAATTTTTGTTCTGCGTGACATTTTGATTTGACGTTTCGCTCAATGAAATCAAATGCAAACGCATGCAAGTCAATTTCGGGTGACGCAAAAAAACAAATTCGACGGCATGCGTACCAAAACGCAAGCCGCGAATATTAGGTTAGCCTGTAAGGATGCCGATTAAAATTAATAAAAATCAATTGGGGTGTTCACAGTTCGTTCCAAATAGTGTCTCAAAATGTAGACGTCTACATTTTAAGACGTTTTCTAACCGTAAAATCTGTGGTGTTGTTGCTTCCCATACAAAATTGGAAAACGACGCCGTCTACATTTTGTCACACTCAAAGGTATGTTTTTTACGCGTCTACATTTTGCAACCTCGCAGCAGGGTTGCATTATGGCAATACTAATCACATTTTTTTTTATTTATTGATTATTTAATTTGAGCGCAATTTCTGATGAAAAGAAACAAATCAAGGAAAAGAAATAACAAATATTACGAATTGCTAATTAAGTTAAATAATTACAATTTTTCAGAAACAAAATCGAAAGGCGACATATAAAAAATGCACGCAAGGAAGAAATGTCTGGCAACACCAGCAAAGTTTTGAGACGATTTTGCGACGACTGCTAGAAAGGGGTGCTCACAGTTTGATGCTAAAGATGTCTCAAAATGTAGACGTCTACATTTTCAGACACAATTTGGAACGAACTGTGAACACCCCAAATGTTTCTTGCACAACGGTCGATTTCTTCTGGCACGATTGAAGGTGCTGCACATATTTCGTTGTCGCTTAAGACTGTCACTGTGCCATGATTTTGTTTAAATTTTTGTAAAATTGCTTAGCACACTTACGATTGCTATAAATTTTGCTTCCATTTTTTTAAGATTTTCTAATTTGAAGTCCTCAGACTAAAAACAAAAGCACAAAAAATGCACCAAGCACCAAACTCAAAAATTTTCGCGTTTTGAACACCCACTAAATTTGATGCGAAAAGCATCAAGTTGGCAACGGTGAATGTAAACAAAAGTATATTATGACGTCAGCGATTGGGTGGATGCTGTCAAATCGACGAAGAGAGGGCTAGCGGTCCGCGAATGGCGCGACCTTTATTTTCTGGATCGTGACTTCCACCCTACTCCTAAAAACAAAAACAGTATGGGCCATGTCTCACGGTCAGTAATTATAACGATATTTGGATCGCGATCCAAATTGATGGATTGATGGATCGCGCACGAATACTACATGCTCAATATTTATCGCGTCAGTATTTGCATAATTTTTGTGCTGGACGCTTATTATGATGCAAGAAAATATTTTTATTATTTATGAATAATTTGTAGATAATGCATTCTACAATTATTTTAAAATTTCCCATGTTAATTAAAATTGTTTCACTTTGTTTTGAAAGGTTTTAAGCAACGAGAACGAAAGCTTAGTGAATCCGTTTTCGATGTTCGCATTATGAGAGTACAAGATGTACTGACGAAATGTATGGATCGCGTTTTGAAAGTGCTACACGCTCAATATTTATTGACAATATCGCGATCCGCAATCCAGATTTCAAAATTTTTAGAAATTTTGCGATATGGATCACGATCCATCATGTGACAGTGCCCTATGACAAGTGTACCAAAAGCGACTCGTACTGATGTATAATCATAAGTTTTTGTTTTATACACGTATGCATAAATATAATTCCGCTCCTGTAGAAGCTAAGGAAATTTAGCGAAACGTTGGGCATGAAGTAAGAAAATTTAGTTTTACTTGCACTTGCAAATATTACATCCACGAAGCCTATACAAAAACAAAATAAAACAAGTAAGAGCAGCGCGGTCTTCGGCTATGCCGAAGGCTTCATACCTTTCACGAGAATCTGAAAATTTTACTTTAACAGATTATTTGAAAAAATGTATATATTCACAGAACGCATAGATAGAGGAGATACATATATAAAAAATCATAGCTAAACAATCAGAGGTATGGAAGATATACCTTATATAGCACCAATCTAAGTGATGTTCACTGCTGTGTGATCAGTACGTGAACCGGTAACACAATTTAATGGGTTTAGCTTCCTACATAATGGAGATATATCGCAAAGACTGGTATCTGAACAATCAGTGGTATAAGAGATAAAGCTCATAAAGCATAAATTTTAGCGATTTTCTCAGTAGAATTTTTATTATTATTTATAAAATAGCTTACGAAATTTATCAGTTTTAGCTGTCCAAATAAAAGAGTTTTACAGTAAAACCCCGTGTCTGAACAATCAGTTGTATGGGGGCAATAAACAGGTTATAGTGACCCGATCTTTGTTATTTCTACTGTACATTTTCTGTTGATAATGAGTGAAAGCAGTGTGAAATTGCATGTTTCTAGCTGCATAGATGAAGTAGTTATAACAAAAAATCTCATATCTGAACAACCAGTTGTATGGGCTGTATGTAAAAGTGACCGGTCTTTGATATTTCCGCTGTATATTCTGTTGTTAATGGGTGGAAGTATTGCAAAAGTTCATGTTCCTAGGTGCATAAATGGAGGAGTTATAACAAAAATTCTCATAACCGATCTTTGTTATTTTCACTGTTAGTATTATATTAATAATGAGTGA